TCGTATCCTTCCAAGTGAAGTTTTCCTTTCTTAAGCCTTTGAATTTTCTAAGTGTTGCAATATCCCCACACGACAAAGAGGGTCAAATTCCAGCTCTAGTCTTCACATCTTTTTTTTTTTCCTTCTGAAGGTTTAATTCATTTCTCAAGGCTCTCTGAAAGTAAGATATCATGATCTAATTGCCTGAGAATTTATTTCCAAATAGATGTTGACAGAGTCTGAAAGTCTCAGAAAGATCAGACAGATCATATTGTCTCCTTTACTCAAGACTTTTTAAATTAAAAAAATACCCATCTATGATCCCCAAAGAACTTTCCTTTGTGGCACCTGCGGTATTCAGTCAATTAACAAACATTTCTTGGACATATGATACAGATAAGAGGCTCTCTAGGACACATGTAATATTTGGGAACTAAACAGAAAACAGATGCAGATAAAAACAATGATCACAAAAGTGGGATAGAGAGAGAGGAATGGGCTGAGGCAGTTGTATGAGAGGAGCTGGATTTATTAAGGAAACTGTCTCCGGAAAAGATGAGTCCTTGCCTGGAGCTTAAAACCATCCTCAGTATCTGTGGGCAATTGGGCAAAGGCTGGGAGGTAAGAGAAGGAAGCCTGAATGTTTGAGCCATTGGAAAGAAGAGAAAAGATTGGGCCCCAATGTGATGGGAGACAAGACTGAAAGGGTGGGGAGGATTGGGATGGATCTGAACAAACTGAGCTACAAAGAGTTTGGTGTAGTTGGAGCAAATCCTTTGGAAGAGTTGAACATTTTTTTCAGTATACTGCTTCTCAAAATGAAACAAAACAGCAACAAACCTTTCCCATTCATAGATACTCTTTGAAGTCTAGATATGGCCTATAGGCCCCTGTAGGGAATATGGGTTTCAGGTTCTGCCTCGACTTCCAGGGCAAATGCCAATCACCATCAAGACCGAAGAAGATCCACCGATTGTATGGGGAGGAAAGACTGGGCAGGGGCCAGTGACTGACTGACTCACTCACTCACTCACTGGTTGACTGATGGATTCACACCTTCAACAAGCGTTCAGTGACTGCCTTTAGGTTTGAGAGGCAAATAGGATTAAATACACTGTTCATGGGACTAGCACAAGATGGCAGGCAAGTCTCCATTTATTCATCAGAAGTTTCATTTTTCTCTTTCTTCCTTTAGTGTGGAAATCTTTGAAAGATTTTTTCACTGAAAATCGATTGTGATCCTGCTATGTATGTTTCAGGGACTGTGTTAGGTGCTGGGAACACCAAAATGACTGAAACATCCTACTGACAATGTGACAACCAACTTAGAGCCCGAATATTTCCTTTTTCTGCGTCTGACTATTGCTTTGCCAGAAGGGGGGTTATTTCTCCTGGAACAGAGTAGACAAATGCGCAGCAGGTGAACAGAAGCATATGAGCTCTCCAGTTGTTAGCCCAGCTGTGTCACACTGACAGTGGCCTCCATCTGTTCAAATCCCACTTCCACCAAGTCAGAACCAAGTTATTTTTATATTTATATCATGAGATAACCCAAGTGGTGGTGACACTGAATTTGGAACCTAATGCATTCTAGTTTCTGGAAACCCACGTACTAGGCAGCTACTTCCATAGGAATAGACATAACACGTAAACTGTAGCAATGGTCAAGGGCCTTCCCAGCTGCTGGTGGTGGAAGAGTTGATCCTCTCATTTTGGATGGGATGAGGAATCTTGGACATTGGGAGGGACTGACCCAGAGTCATCTGACACATGGATGGATGCAGAGGACAAGCCAGGGCTACTCAAATCTCCTGGCTTTGAATCCACGCTCTTTTTATTAAGCCAGTGGTAACATAACCCACCAAATGAGTGCAGATTTTAATCTCCCTCATCAAGAGGCCTGCTGGGCATACGTCTCGTGCATATACATCATGATGGTTCCTGGGTGGTTGATACTCATCACCCTCTGACTTCACTTTTTTTTCCCCCTTTGCAAAATGGCTATTGCCCAGAGCCAGCATCTCTTCTCCAAAAAAGTAACATGCCAGAAGGGTTTTTGGAAACTGCCTTGATATCTGTCAGAAGCCAGATGATTCGCAGCAATGAACCGATGCATATAACAAGGATACCTGATTGGATTACCAATTAGCCATCTCCATCTCTGGAGGGCGGTTGGAAACAAGAGAAAAGGCAGTGTTTAGTTTGGGCAATTACCAAAAGGGCTTATCATTCTCATCAAGGCCTCAACAGAGCACATTAGACCTCCTCCAAGCCATTCCACAGGAACTTCCCTGTCCAGATGCTCCAGCAAGAGCAAACTTGTCATGCAAACATTGGGTTATTGTGTCTGAGCTACAGAAGCACCTCTGTGTCAGTGAGGGGGAGAAACTGGCTGACTTGCATCTGTTTTTAATGATGTCTCTGCTGCTGGAAAGTTCTGGAAGCTGCAGGTAAAATATTCCCATATAAAAGTGAGGCTGGCCTGGGAGGTATCATCTTACCTGTACCTGAAAGAGGCTCCTTGGTTTCGGGAGGCCTGGGGAGGAACAGGCAGATGTTTTCTCCATCTGGACCTGGCAAGAAGTGTCCCAGTGTGGGGTCTCTGGAATCTTCTTGAAAATAAGCACAAGCATGACTAGTGTTAGTACCAGTGCAGGGGAGGCTCCCCGAATCCCCAAAGGGTAGATGTCAGTGCACTCAGGTGCTTGCCAGGGTGCAGGCTCAGCCCTACTCCTGGGGTTCAGCAGAGCAAGGCCATCATGTAGGCCCTGCCCTCGACATCAGGGTGAGATGAACAGGGTGGGGCCCCACTAGCCTATGTCATGTCTTTGTGAGAGTCTGGTGAAGAGGCCCCTCTGGACTCAAGCAGCCCTACCTAGACACGGCGAGGCTGGTGAGGAGCCCCTTCTGCTGGGGGTGTGTAGCCCAGCCCCTGGGCCCAAGGCTTGGTGACTCCAGCCTCTGCTTCTTCTTTCCATCATGTGTCTCTATGCAGCATTTTGCAGTACAACCACACCCTATGGACCAGTGCTGGGACTGCTTTTTGACTCCAGGGTCCTGAGACCAATGAGGAGAAGGAAGCTGTGTTTCCCTCTGTTGTTTAGAAGTATTGAAGGTGTTTCTATAACTTTACCTTCCAAGTCACTGAGGCAAAGGGGTCAGGAGTAGAGCTGGCCACCACCATCCACAGTGGATGCTTATAAGGACACAGACACACACACACACACACACAGAAACTCGCACATATTTATAGAGAGGTGTGCACACACATATATATGCAGAGCAAGTGCACGCACGCACAACCGCATATGCAGGTATGCATGCGTGCACACATGGACCATGCATGAACAAGGACACACACACATCAACAAATGCACAGTGTTCTCAGGTAGGCACGTATGCATAATCACACACACACACACACACACATATCTTGTGTGTATATATATATATACAAGAACTCACACAGGTGTAAAAGGTGACACATACCCTCATACACACATGTGCTCTCATACACACATTCATTTATATACACCTACCCAACGCACTTGAGGCTTTAGGCTGCACTCTTATCATAGTCATGGCCCTAGCATTCATTCTAATCAGATTCTCCTTTTATAAAAATGTCCGAGTATGGGTGTGTGTGTGTGTTTGCTGTGGTTGGTCCTGGGCTATGCAACCTCCTAGGAACACCCTTGTTACTGACATGACCATGGCTAAAGTTTGGTTCATTTGTATCAAATTTAACAGAGGATCCCTGCCATGCAAGTGTAAAAGAGAGGGGGTTGTAAGAGAAAGGTTCCGGGCCAAAATAGTTTATAAGTGAAAATGATCTCTTTGGAGAAAGAGAGAGAGGAGTTTGATTTTGACCATTTCAGTGGCAGAGAAGCTGCAGACACATAATGGAGTTACTGATCTACGTATTTAATTTATGCTTACAAGGCTTCAACTATAGATGCTTGGGGGAGGGGGGAGGGAGAGAGAGATGGGGAGGGAGAGAGGGAGAGACTTCACGAGTGAGGCATGCTGTCCCTGAGTGAGCATGAGATGAAAATGAAAGATACCATACCCGCTGTCTTTGTGGCTCTCGGTTCCCACGTGCCCCTCAGAGTGTGAGTTTCTCGCAGCCTCTAGTGTGATTCGGCTGTTAACAGAGATCCTTTCTTCACATGTCTGGCACCCAAACACACACCAGTCTCTTTCATCTGGTGTTCATCCAGAAACAACAGCCCCACACTCTCACGAAGGAGGGACAGCTGGGTGGCTGCTCTTTCTAGAAAATGGTTTTGTCAGTGTCCAGCACGGCACCTCCATAAGGGATTTTCAGGGGTAATTTGGACTCTAAGCAATTTATGCTTTATGAGCTGCCTTTAGATCACAGCCCCCATGGAAGGGATTCCTGCTCTGTCTCTGCATTATTGCTCTTGTATAAGCATCTTAGTCTCCTCCTAGACTGTCAGCTCGTAAGGATAAGAACTTTCAGTGGGCCTAAGTCATAGAGGAAGTGGATTTGCTTTGCCTCGCCCTTCAAGAGAAATCCAGAGTCCTTCTCTCTCTGTGGACAGGACTCAGGCTCTGCACGGGGCTGGAGGGGGGCTTCTCTCCGGGGACTCTTGCTCTTGGCAGGGTCACGTCAGCAGGCTCCTTTGCCCCAGGGAGAGGGTTGAGTATGCTTGGTAAATCCAGGAGCGTGTCTCCCTGATGAGCATAGGGAGCTGTGTCATCACACACTGCTGCCAGGAGTGAGGAGAGCACAGGACAGCCTGGCGGTGCGTGTTGGTGCAGCAAACCCTTAAAACATGTACTGACTTTTTTAGGAATATTCGTGGTGAACATTAATCCCAGACATTGTTGGAAACACTGCTGATTTCCCCCTTTTCAATGGGGTGGCTTTTAGACAGCTTACATCACAGCTGCTGTGTGGCCTTGGTAGATGATTAAAATGATCCCAGAGCCACAGACAAGCTGAGGAGGGGGGAGGGAGGAACATCTGGGGGAACAATCACCCCAGGAGTGATTACCTTGTCCTTCTGCTGGGAGTGCCCCCCTGGCTCTTCTCACATCCAAGGGGCCTATGGAGCTGCTGCAGCTTGATGTCCTGGGGCTGTCCAGGCCCCTCTGGCTCTCTGGACTTTTTCTTCCTTTAATCAGGGACAATGGTGGGGTCACATTCTGGGGTGAGGCATCATCATCTTCTAAAGCAAAAGGAGAAAAAACACAAGTAAGAAAACTTCTGAATCAGCAAGAAAGAGAGAGAACCTCTTTTTCTGACTTGGTTGATGGCTCCTTGTGCTTAGGCTGGTTTATTCCACTCATTCTTCAAATTTGTCCCTCTTTCTAGCCTTGCTAAGGAGTGGAGGCCAAGTGACTCCCTCCCACCACCCATGGAGGCCAAGGTGGCTAGAACAGGGGTCCTTCAGTTGGGGAGCTTCCAAGAAACCGGGAGGACTTGAACAGTGGTTGTTGTTGTCATCTTGTTGATGGGCTCCTGAGAGAGAAAAAGGACTAGAGAGGCTATGAGATCCTTCTAGCCCCCAAAACAAAGGCTCAAACTAGAGAGACTCCAGCTTTAGTGCTCATGGGATTGTTGGCTACAGATCCAACCACAAAGCAATTTTTCTAAGCAGAACCAATGATCACATGGCTCCTCAAGGTCATAAAGTACAAAGTAGCACCTTCCAGATGCTAGTTAGAGGGTAATGGGATTGATGGTCATGCTCCACAAAGCACATCCTGCCCTCCACTTCTGTTCCCTTTCTCCAGTTATTTTTCAAAATCAGTAGGGACTACTCTAGGAAGGGTGAAACCCAGTAATCTAAGTGATTGAGACCTTGTCTTAATCTCAGAGAGTGGTCTTTATTTCATATTCAACACACTGTTGCTGTTGTGTTTAAAAGCTGGCTTCACGCATAATTGCAAAGTATCCCAGGCTACTTATTTATTTCAAAGGGAAACGGTATCTTTTTTTTTTAAAGATTGTTTACTTCTTTTGTTTTGTTTTGTTTTCTTTAAAGATTTTATTTATTTATTTGACAGAGACAGAGATAGTGAGAGCAGAAACACAAGCAGCGGGAGTGGGAGAGGGAGAAGCAGGCTTTCCCCTGAGGAGGGAGCCCGATGTGGGACTAGATCCCAGGACCCTGGGATCATGACCTGAGCTGAAGGCAGACACTTAACGACTGAGCCACCCTGGCGCCCCGGGGAAACGGTATCTTTACAGTGGAGAAATCTAGTAGACACCACCTTTAAATAAATAATGAATTCTAACATCCCCTATAATGAAACAATTGATAACAAATGGAATAAATAAGAAGGGATATTTCCTGTCTCTTGATGTGATATGCTGAGAAAGACGTATCATGACCTACATACTATTCTTGCCAAAAATGTTGGATCTGAATCTAATCACAAGGAAACAGACAAATCAAATCGAGTATAATTCTGAAAAGAAACTGGCCTATCTTCTTCAAAAATGTTGATGTCATGAAAAACAAGATTCTAAAGACATGGGACAATTAAATATGATACATGATCCTGAGTAGAATTCTGGATTGATTGGGGGGAAAAACTACAAGGAACATTATTGGTATAATTATGAAAATTTGAATATGGACTATATAGTAAAAATAAATTTTCTTGAGTATGGTAATTGCATTGTGGTTATGGGAGAAAATCAGTGCTCTTAGGAGATATGTGCTGATAAGGGAAGAAATATACAAAGTCTGCAATTTAATCTCAATGGTTCAGCGATAAAATATGTATGGCATATGTGCGTATATAAAATCTGGCTTTATTTTTATGATATTAGAGGTGAGATAATCTAGGGCTAAGCAAGTAAATGTGTACATGCAACCTCTGGCAATGGGACAATCCTGCTTAGTAGCTTTAAACACCCTTGCCCCAGGAATCTTCTTTTTTTGTTTTAAGTTTTGTTTATTGGGGCACCTGGGTGGCTCAGTCAGTTAAGTGTCTGCCTTCAGCTCAGGTCATGATCGCGGGGTCCTGGGATCCAGTCCTGCATCGGACTCTCTACTCGTGATCTCTCTCTCTCTCATGTCCTCTCTCTTAAGTAAATAAAATCTTAAAAAAAATAAAGATTTATTTATTCATTTTAGGTAGAGGGGAAGGAGAGGGGAAGAGGGAGAGGGAGAGAAAGTGTCAAGCAGACTCCATGCCTGGGGGGAACCTGACATGGGGCTGTCAGGACCCTGAGATCAGGACCTGAGCTGAAGCCAAGAGTCATATGCTTAACTGACTGTCACCCAGGCACCTGTCCCAGGAATCTTTGTAAGAAAGATTACCATGCAAATCTTACCTCTTTAGACTCTTCTTTACGCATCTACCACTAGGTTGGGTCACATACTGAACTAGCTAACACCAAGGATCAGGGACTTCTTAGACCAGCTTCCCCTTGGGGCAGAGGATGGACAAGCTTTAGATCCTTGGTGGACATGGCAGCTCAAAACAAGTGGAGAGCCGTGTGAAATGAGGATACCAAAGATGAAATTCACTGGAGTTGCCATGGATCCCAGTGGCTCAGGCCGGGCACCGGACATTGTGGCGCACAGATAGAAAGCCGCTTTCCTACCTGTTTGCACACAGAGGACCCTTGCCCATAATTGTTTTTTTTTTTTTTTAAGGAAACTTCAGAGTCTTTAAGATGTTAACTCTCACTTAAGAGAAAGAGTAAACAAGCCCCTGCTCCAATAATCAAAGGAAGCTCTCAAAACTGAAACATCTCAAGAACATCCTGACCTATGCTCATTGTTTTGTTTATTCTGAAAGACAGTAGAGTGTAATGGATGGGAGGATGGATTCTGGTCCCAGAAGGCCTGAGCTAGGCCACTTGTAGTTGTGTGACCTCAAACATATAACTTATCTGTCAGGGCTTCAGTTTTTTTGTTTTTTTTTTGAAGATTTTATCTATTTATTTGAGAGAGAGAAAGAGCACAAGCAGGGGGCTTGTGCTGAGCAGGGAGCCCGACATGGGACTCATTCCCAGGACCCTGAGCTGAAGGCAGATGCTTAACTGATTGAGCCACCCAGGCGCCCCAGAGCTTCAGTTTTGTGATCTGTGAAATGAGGGTAGGGTTGTTGTGAGGAATAAGTGAGATAAACTGAGGAAGGTGCCTGGCACAAAAGAAGAACTCCATAAATATGAATGCTCATCTTTCTACTTCTGATTACCACTAGTCAGAGATCACTTAGCATTTGTCATATAGTCATTCTGCCCTTGGAAAGGAGGTTCAGTTTTCTGAAAATGAGGGGCTTTCAAAATATGATGCGTTATTTCCAGCCTATCAACACATAAATACACTTAGATACACTTATGTGTATAGTTTCAAATGTCCATATGATGTTTTGAAAAATTGGAGTGAAGTCTTTCATTGATATTTTGACTTTTAATGAATAAATACATATTCCTAAATTGATTAGAAATGAAATTTCATTGGTTAAAAACATAGGATAGACTACAAAGTGTGCAGAAATGTTTAGTAAGTTGGGTGCTGTTTTATATCTACAACCAGAAACTATGAGTAGGGGGATGATTCAGTGAGTAAGTTGCATGCGCTAGACACTAAATTGGTTTCATTATAGCACTTTGGCTAAGGCAGGTGCTGCCTGAACTAAGTCATCTTCAAGTGGCAGGGGACGAGCTAGCCTCCCTTCCAGCCTCCTTTTGCATGGCTGAGGACTCTTGTGTGTCTTGCCTTGCTTCCCTTCGGGGTGAGAGTCCTGTGGGGTGCTGGAGGGAATGAATAGCTACCTTGATGTGAGAGCATGTCCCTGCCTGTGTCCATTGGGAGATGCACGGTTAACTCCCTTGGCTTTTCTAAGGATGCATGTTTCAGGGGAGGTTTCTGTAAAGGCCTGGCCTTTTCTTCTGTTTCTGGTCCTGGCTCAGGGTGTGGAGCTCCTAGGAGACAAGGAGAAAGACAAGTTTTGTAGATGTCTGTGGTTTGTGCCAGTTGTCTCTTCTTTGGGAGGCCCATCTCTCCCCTGCTCACGTATGTGGTTTGGGTGGAGCTGTGTCTGTTCCCTGACTCTGGGGGTAAGCATGCGGCTGAAGCCTAGCTAATGAGCACTCTTCACTGTCTGAGCTGTGGTGACTGGGTCCAGGTTGGGCATACAACCCATGCCTGGCCAATGAGAGGCAATTCTGGTACTTTTACAAGAGCTTTCAAGGGGCATATCCTTTCTAGTCCAGTTAGCAGGTGAGAGGTTAGCATGAAATTGCAGGAGGCCATCTTTGCTACCATATGGGGACATATGAATATGACCAGAAGACACCTTTTTCTAGATTTGACCCCTTTTCTTCCTTTAAAAATCATTCTCTGAAGAAGATAGCCCTGGGGAGGGTCAACCATGATTTAGGAGAGGGTTACATTAGGGAGACCCCCATCGCAGTCCTTACCGGCCTGCCTGTGTTCCACGAAGAACATCCAAACATAGGTGACCTACCTCTTCTGTGTAGTTTTTCTTTTGGGGGCTGTTGAGTGTGGAAATGAATCTCCCCTGGGAAGATGAAGAGCTCTGCTGGAGGTTCACTCCTCAGGGGGTCCAGGACTCTGGGCTGTTCCTCTGAGAGAGGGGGTAATTTCAAAGCCTTTGGCACCTGGAGAAAATTTTTAAAACAAAACAAAACCCGACATGGCAGGTATTTAAAAACTGCTGCTTGCAGAGGACAAACGACACTGTATCTTCTTGTAAATCTGGTGCCAGGTGCTGCTGGGTGTGATGCAGCTTCAGTACCCACGGCTGAGAAGTAGAGCCAAGCAACCCCTCAGCTAGCTGTCTGATCAAAGCAGTGCCGCTTCGCTTTTTGGGAACCTGGCAATGCGCCTCCCTTAATCCAGCCTCTCACTCCCCTGAGAAGTATAAACGTGATAAATGCACCAGGCTTTGAGACAAACTAGTGTTTCTTTGTCTTGCAGTCGGGGAAATTAAGCCAGATTGGAATAATATAGTTGAGATTTCCGTGTACAGAGAGGGAGGAGCCTCTACATATGTTGCTAAGGGAAAAAAAACAAGGTACAGAACATTGTGCAACCTTTTAGGTTAAAAAGGGTAGAAAGCAGGAATATGCATTTGTGCTTGCTTACTTTATGTAAAACTCTCTAAGCTTCAAATTCTTTTTCTGTAAAATGGAAGTAATCATACTTCCTACCTCATAAGGTTGCCGTGAGTAGTAAATGAACTAATTACACGTAGTTACAATCGTGTTTGGAATTAGAAGTTTTTTCTATATTTCTTTGAGAGTAGACTCTTCTCTCATTAGGTTTAATGTCCAATCTTGCCACTTGCAGGATATCTAGGCGTCTCTATATCTCTGCGATATGAACAGAGCTAAAAATGAATCACCATGTGACAGAATCAGCAACAACTTTGGCCCAATATTTTTGTGTCCAAAAAACCTCAATACGTGTGTGTGTGTGTGTGTCCAGAGAGAGAGAATGAGACATTGGGGTAGTACTTAGAGCCTCCTCTTTCCAGTTATTCAAAAGTTGCTGAGGGCCATATGGGTGGCACAATTGTTTGAGTGCCCAACTCTTGGTTTCGGCTCAGGTTGTGATCTCAGGGTCTTGGGATCAAGCCCCATGTTGGGCTCCATGCTCAGCTCGGAGTCTGCTTGGGTTTCTCGCTCCTTCTGCCTCTGCCCCTCCCCACCTCTCTCTCTCTCTCAAATAAATAAATAAATAAATAAATCTTTAAAAAACAAAAGTTGCTGAAAATTTCTCCTTTTAGTTTGTAGCTTTTAACATACGAACTTGCCTCTGTGAGATGTACATGTGTGCTGGGTTTCAAGGAGTTCAGTTTCATGGAAGGAAAAATAAAAACGTTTCTCATTTTTTTTTAGTGTTCAAGGAGAAAAAAAATGATCAGAAACACACGTAAGCATCCTCCATGTTTAGAGTTGAATGAGGAAGGAAATTCAACCAAGTACATGCAGGGAGATTTTTATGATTTTAAGACATTAAGAAAATGATTAATCAAATGCACACACATAGGATCTTTATGTTCCTGGAGACCTTCGCTGCCCAGGTACCAGCTGCCCACCAACTGCCCTTTTCTGAGTACTGACCTTGTGCATGGTGTTTGACAAGGTTTGCCTTGAGAAATCTATGTGGAAACCCAAATGATCTGTGTGAGGTATGCTGACAAACCAATCCTTAATTTCTTTATTCTAATTAAAACTTTACAGAGTTTTAATATAGTGGAAAATATTGCCTTCCTCTGCTAACCCATATACATGGGTTGGAGGAAAGGACTCCTGTCCTCTGAGCCTGGCTTGGTTCTGGGCTGACCCGGGGTATGGGATCGAGGGCTTTCCTCAGGCCTGCAGTGACTCTGGCAGATCAGGCCTCCTGTTTACTCCTGGTCCAAAGGAACCTGGGAAGACAGAGGCCCTTCTGGTGTGGATGGGAAGGTTTTGATCAGGTTAGACACAAGAAATCTGAGAAAATCCTGAACAGGTTGAAAATAACCTCCTTCATTTGCATCAGGAGCACCTGGAGTGCCCATGGCTCCTCCAGCGCCACTTCGGAGACTGTGAATCCCCACAACGAACTAACATTGCTATCGTTCCCAGTCCAAGACTAGATACTTCCACGGGAATGCATCATCTCATGTTATCCTTCCATCTGCCTGTGGGGTGGGCGTTATGGTCTGTATGCACAGAGGAGGTCAGTGCAGCTCAGAGGGGTGGGTGACCGGCTTGAGTTCATGCAGCTGCTAAAGGGCAGAACATTCCAGAGCCCCTGCTTGCTCCTGCTCGGCACAGGTACGTTCAAACCCCCGAAGACCCACATAGAATTGCAAAGCAGGATGAGGCCAGAGACAGCTAGGAACATTCCTGAGGGGAAAAGGTGTACTTGACTTTTGAAAAGGTTGGTAAAACTGCCAAATTTACTGTACGTTTTCAAAGGTGACAGGTCCTTAATTAAGCAAAACCACTGCTGGATTGATATCGCCAGCATTTTGAATTTGAAGTGGGTCAATTGCTTGCAAGCTCAAATTCTGTCCTTGTATGTTTACAGATAAGCCCCAGTCCCTTAATAGCACAAGGGACCCTGTTGCCCCCAGAGTGCGTTAATATCATGTGCTCTAAGGTAGAACTGGGGGGCAGTTGAAACTCCTTGTACTTCACTATTTTCAACATTTAGTAAATTGTAACAGTTTTATTTCAGCTCCACATGGTGAGCTCAATAGTGAGTAAGGCCAGTTTTCTGTTTGAGACATCATCCCTTTGAGTTGCCTCGTTCCTAGACTGAGATTAATCTTTTAAGGGCGAGCACACATGTGCACGGGCACACACACACACACACACACACACAACCTTTTTCTTCTTCACTTCCCCAGCTGTGTTTTTCTCCGAGCCAGTAGCAGGTGCTATAGGAGGGAAAAGGCATCTTTCAGCAGGAGGCTCCTGTAACAAGTGGCAGCTTCTGCCCTTGTGGAGTCTTATATTCCCTTGTCTGTCTGTGGAAACAGGGTGGGAATGAGAACTTATTAGTTGCAGGTATGAGGATGGACAGTTGACCTTCAACTTTTATCACTTTTGGGTTAACAGGAATAGAGGCAAGAACAGGCACTGAGCCAGGGCTTTAGCGGAGGCAGGTTCAGGGAGTCCTAATCTCATTACCTGGGTTGGGTTCTTGCTGGCAAGTCAGGTGATGGAGAGAATGATAATGATAATATTAACAGTTAACATATATTAAGTGCTAAATATAGGAAAAGAATGATACAAAGTATCTTACATCCAGTAACTCACCTAATCCCCATAATAGTCTTATGAAGGTATTATTGTTATCCCCATTCTACAGGCAAGAAAACCGAGCCTCAGCAAGACCAAATACCTTGCTCAAGATCACAACTAGAAAGTGGGAGTAATTTACACCCAGGCAGTCTGATTGCAGAATGTGTGTGCTTGAGTACTAGGCAAAAAGGAGGCTGGGGGTCTTGTTGCCACCTTCCACTGGACTTTGGTTGTTACTTTCTAAGATGAGAGGCTCGAGGAAGTGACACTCAGCATGCCTCAGTGTTCTCAAATGAACTCCACATGACTAGGGTTACCCAGATTAACAAGCAAGACATTTGGGGCGCCTGGGTGGCTCAGTTGGTTAAGCGACTGCCTTCAGCTCAGGTCATGATCCTGGAGTCCCAGGATCGAGTCCCGCATCGGGCTCCCTGCTCGGCAGGGAGTCTGCTTCTCCCTCTGACCCTCTTCCCTCTCGTGCTCTCTGTCTCTCATTCTCTCTCTCTCAAATAAATAAATAAAATCTTTAAAAAAAAAAAAACAAGCAAGACATTTGGCTTCTTACCGCTGAGATCTGCCTTTCTATTGGGGAAGGCCCCTCCAGAGAATGTAATGTGGGATTTGTCACTCAGGAGCCAAGAATGATCCATGTGGGCATGCCCAAAGGCTCTTCGGGAGGCTATGTTTTCATTGTGGCTCTCCTTTGAAGTGTGTATACGATGGTGATTCTCTATTGACGTGTCCTGGGGAACGACAGATACACATTCCTATAAACAGGCTTTCTAAAGAAACAGAGCAGGACAGTCAGACCTTGTGGCTAGACTCTTGTTGCAAAGAAGAAGTGTCTTTTGCAGCTTAGGAGGAAAAACAAGGTTGTAACAGTATGATCTCTAATGCTATTTGTTATAATAAAACATTGTATTATTGTGAGAGCAAGAATGAACGTTAACCATGCCTGACACACAATGCTTTCTTTTTTTATTTCATATAGTGCTTTCCTGCAAAAAAAGAAATTAAAAATCAAAATGAAGCTCTAGATCCTTGTCTTTATGCATTATAAATGTCTCTCCCTCTTGCGCTTCTCCCCTGTGGCACCTTTCTTCCCCTCCTTTGCAGCTCACAGTGGCACGTGACTTTCTTGTTGGTCAAATGAGCTTAAAGACAGGAGCATGTGTTGTCTATGTTGCTCTGAACCACTGTCATCTTGTACATACATTCACACACACACGCAGGCCTTAGAGTTTAGAAAGCATGTTTATATCCTAATGCATTTAATCCTCATAGTAGCCTAGTGAGTATGTATGGTAACAGCTCCATTTTACAAAGGAGGTAATTCAGGCTCTAAGTCAGTTAATGTTCTTTTTTTTTTTTTTTTAAGATTTTATTTATTTATTTATTTGAGAGAGAGAATGAGAGAGAGAGCACATGAGACGGGGGAGGGTCAGAAGGAGAAGCAGACTCCCCGCTGAGCAGGGAGCCCGATGCGGGACTCGATCCCGGGACTCCGGGATCATGACCTGAGCCAAAGGCAGTTGCTTAACCAACTGAGCCACCCAGGCGCCCAGTCAGTTAATGTTCTTTATCAGGCTCACCACGACTTGTCAGACGCAGGACCCCAACCAAGCCTTTTCCAATTCTAAGGCCAAGAGCTCTTTTCTCTAGAGAAGACGACTGCTGCCTAGATGGGGTGAAGAGTGTAGGGGTACTCTGTGGTTAAGTAAGTTTGGAAAACCATGGGTTAAAGTTAAACCAGCTACTTCACCTATAGAACTTCCCCAAATGGTCCATATTCAAATGTGTCCTGTGACCCTCGGGGAGGAGAACATGGTACGCAGCATTTCCCCAATGTATTTGACCAGGAAAATCTTTTTTTTTCATCGAGCCACTGGCAGTGTTCCACATGTGACACTTTGGGGTAACAGTGGTCAATAGGCTCGAAGTCCTCTTCCCTTCTCTGGAGGAACCCCAAGGAGCGGCGAAGGGAGGGCATATCCCCTCTGAAGTCAGGAGGAACAATGACAGAGGGCAGCCCATCAGAAATGGTACCTCTGCCTGGGTTTCAGCTTCTTGCCACGGCTGCTTCCTGAGCTGTGGCAAATAAATCCCTCGACTGCTGTAGTTCTTGGCTATGGAGCCCTGGTCCACATGTCTGCTAGCCCCAGCTTCCCCTCCGGCCAGGCCCTGCTGACCTGCAAAGGAGAACAGCAGGTCAGCCCTGTAAACCCAGAAATGGGCATGGTGCTATTAGCTGCTTCCAAGCTGCCTCCCTTCTTGCTCTTCTGACCAAAAGTGTTGAGGGAGGCCCTTGTACCTCTTCCCTCCTTATTTCCGTATTTCTGCTAGTGCCTTCACGGAAGTGGCAGCCAGGTCTATAGAACAGAACTGCACTCGAATCAGGAGGCTCAGGATCGAGTCGTCATTTATTGGACTCAGTTTCCTCATCTGTAAAATGGGGATACTAATTCCTTGCCCTTGCTTCCTCACACAGTTGTCTGGAGCTCATACAAAATAATGAATGTGATGGCCCTGTGCAAACTGAGGGACTGACTGGAGGGTTACAGTGGTGTGATGATGGTGGGTTCTTCCGCAGCCCTGCTCTGTTGTCATTGAGATGCTCAGTCGGAAGCACTTGATTTCCTGGGCTGCCTGCTGGTGTTTACTTGTGGGGAAAAGCTCTGCTGAATGCACTGTGATGGACGGCTGCTTAGCTCTCTGAACTTACCCTGTCTGTGCAACCCTCAGGAAGGATCTGAGTCAACAGATGACTCCAGCATAGTTAACAAATCATTCATCGATGGGGTAAAGGGTCCTGCAGCTATTTTCATCACTTACTCAAGGTAGATTTATTGCTGAAGCGATCTGGCAAAACTTCCTTGTTTGGAGCTGCTTTAGCAACACCTCCATTCTCGGCATGCTGCTCTGTGGAACAATATGGGGCTGTCTTTCAACCAGGGGCTCTGGAAGCCTTTCAGGGGCCCTGTATATGTTGGAACTCCAGACTTCTGGAGACTCCCAGCCAGCCTCACCTTCCCTCTATACTCCCCAACCCTCGTCATTCCCTGCGTCGTTCCCTTCCTTGGTGTCACCGGGTCAAAAGCCAAATGCCCAATTGTGAGGCTACTCCTTCCCTCCAGCTCTCCTTCCTTTGCCCATTGGCTCCTGACAGTTTGGGGGTCTGAGCCAATGCCAAGAATGTGGGTGGAACAGAGGCAGACTCAGGCTCCGGTTTAGAGGGGTCTGCTCAGGTTTTAGTGGCCCAGGGAAACCTGACGAGCCCTGGGGACCCCTCAGCCTGGGGAGGCTCAGGGCCACACTAGGCCTGCCTCAAGAGGACCTCAATGCCATACAGGGTGTGGCACTAAAGACCTTTTTGTGTATTCTAGAATGATCCCTTGGGGCCAAGCCTGACTTCAGGTCCATCCTTCTTGGTCAGATTCACCTGGAACCAAATGCATTTCTGAGGGTAGAGGACGTGAAACTCTGGCCAAGTGACCACTCACTCAGTGAAGAGACTTATATGGTACACTGTCTGAGTTGCGGCAGGGGGCACTGTGGGTAGGGAAGCATTCTTCCCTTTGGCTGTATCCCAGGTGATATTGAGTATATGACTCAATCTATGCAAGGGAAACCAAGATTTTTCTTAGTAAACATCATCTCTGGCTCATTTGCTTATGCTTAATAGAAACAGGTATGCAAGCAAGGTATTGGAAGGTTCAGTTGTTGAAAGGAGACCATAAAACTTGGTCTCTCTGTCTCAAAATATGGATTCAGATTACCCAAATAATGTGAATTGGAGTAGCAATTTAGAGGTCTTAGAGAGCTTTTTTTAACCTCTGTCCTCTTCTGTGATTTTTTTTTTTTTTTTACACCAACCCAGAGAAGGTGGAATGCAGATACCATTACTTCCATTTTACAGATTAGCAAACTAAGGATGCAGGGAGCATAAGTGACATGACCAACATCACATTTTTGGGGAAATGTTATATTTGCAGATGGGACTTTTCCTACTTTTCCGAATAAAGTATCTGGAAAAAAGAGGGAGGCCAAGGGGAGATGAAATTAAAACGAATAAAACCATCAGTCAGGGTTCAAGTTACAGCCTCTGAGCTGTTTTTCTTTGCAAATTGATTTTTGATCCTTGTGATCATGAGCAATGGGCATTGCAATTAGTAATTATGCTTAAATACACAAGGTAGGGATGTCTATACTAGCATTTACTGAGCACTTACTATGTACCAGATACTGCATTATCCCATTTAACTCCAACATCCAACCCGGTGAAGCAAAAGTGGGCGTGGTCATCTCCATTTTATAAATGAGGATGCTGAAGCCCAGACAGGTCACATGGCTTGGGATCTGGTGCTAATGGCCACATGTTTAATTACAATTCTATATGGCCTCTCTGTTTTCTTCCTGATTGTTACAGCTCCTTGGCATATGGCATTAATTAAGGAAATCACTTGATCCCTTTGGCGTGCAGTCTTGATCTACTCCCAAAATGAAAGTACTGCAATCCCTTGTCTAGTATTTATAGACCCTAGGGCATTGAAATCTAAGGATATTAACTGGAGGCAGTAGGATTTTTGAAGAGAGAGGGCATAAGGCAATGTCAAAATGAAGTGCCACCTGGGGAAAGACAGAAGGTCCCAACACAGGAGCGTTACCTGGGCAAATTCACCCATTCCCAGGACATGGATGGCCAAGAAACTTGATCTCTTTAGTGTCCCAGAATCAACTGGTTTCAGGGATGTTGATCCACATTAGCAAAGTGCATAGAGACTCTATAAGCCAGGATATTAATTTACAAAGAGAAATACACTTGCCTGACCAGCATATTTCCTGTATATGAACTATATGTGGATCAGGTTATGATCAAAATTCCCTGGTTCCAGAGTCAAGACTTAAGGGAGGTATATGGCAGGAATGTTTAATGAGAACCTGCCACATTCTTCTCCATTCATTGGATAGATCAGATATTCTACTTATCCTGACAGATCCTTTCCCAAGGACAAGAATTGGTTAGGCACTATCATTTCTGGAAAATTCTTTTTTCATTTCAGAAAAATTAACTTTATATTATGTTAAGCCCTTGTTCTTTCCTTCTCTTTTCTCAAGAACCCTGGCACTAGCCAATGTCTTATTCTTTGTCCATTAGTGCTACTCAGTCATCTTTTCCTATCTCCCTTAGCAAAGGCAATTTCTGGCTCTTTTATTGCTTCAAGTTCCCAAGAATAACTTTGATAAGTAAACCCCCATAGTACTGAACAGCTTACAGACAATTCACAATAATCTTCTGTACAGTAATAAGGCAGGTCTTATTACGTTCATTGCAGAGATGAGCAAACAGAAGCTCAAAGAGGTTAAGTGACTTGCTCAAGATCTTACATCTAGTAAGAGAGAGAACAGGCATTCCTCCAACGCCTGTATTTTTTCTTATGATATTGCCACAAAATCACAGAATTAAAGAATGTTAGAGCAGAACAGGCCTAAGAAATCATCTAAAATCTAGAGTCTAGGCCTGTACTGTTTAATACAGTAGCCAATAGCCACATGTGGCTGTTTACCTGTAAATTAATTATAAGTAAGTAAAAATCAAAAACTCAGTTTCACAGTTGCACTTCTGACATTTCAAGTGCTCAATAGCCGCATGTGGCTAATGGCTACTACTTGGACAGCATATATTATAGAATAATCCGTCATTGCAGAAAGTATGGTTGGATAGTTCTGGTCTAGACAAAGAAACCCAGAATCCCTAGATTTTATTTTGGGCAACTCCATTTTAAAGGGTTAAAAATCCAAATATTTGAGATCTGGTCATAAAATCAACATGTACCTTGTTCAAAAGATTTTCCTTGTTGAATCCAACATGGAGGGAAGACAGGCAGGAGGTGGTATTTTGGGGGTACACCTGAAAGATCCTGTTGTGACCTGAGATTCTTTGGTACATTAAGTTGACCGTCCTGGAGCAGCACAGAATCCTTGATGTACCCTGAAGAGTAGGTCAGGAGTTATTGGTAGAAATGGTGGTCACCGGTTCAGAGGTCTTGGAGATGACTACAAGGTCCCTCACTTACACTAGTCTTGGCTTTGGACATCGCCCGTTAAAGAAGACAATTAAAAGATGGGAGGGATTAAAAATCAGATAGAACCCATAGAGGGTTCTCTGTTCAGTGTCTTGGGTGCTTCTGGTCCTGTGCCACATGTGTGCTTCTTTCACTTCACCATTTCCAAGAACTGGGTCTCTCTGGTGGAAGAAGCATGGATGCTTCTCTGGGGTTGGGTGAAAGGCTCCTCCTGCTTCAAGAGGAGAATCCAAAGGTTTCTCCTGGATGTCTCCTACTTGGTTCTGTAGGCCCCATGATTCTCAATTCAGTCATTCTACAAGTATTTATTGGGGTTATGGTTAACATGGGCCGTTTTTAGAGGCACTAATAGGCAGTTGGAAAGACAAAGCTCTCCTGTGCTCAACTGTGTGGCCCCAAATGTCAATGTGATATAAGGTCAGAAAATAGGGAGCTCAATATTGGCTGGCATTGTCAGAGAAGCATTTGTAGAAAATGTGGGCCTGAAGGGTCTGAAGGAGTTATCATAGGGGTGGCAAGATGGGACCAGAGAATATACACTAACCTCACAAAGGTAGTGAGCTCTATGATGTGAGCTCTCTGGCAGAGGCCACTGGGCCAATGATCTCATACCACAGTATTGCTATTGTTCCTCCAGCTTGAGGGTCTCACCATCAAGAGGTGCTTTGGTGATGAATTATAGCAAGGGGCCCAAGAATGCACATACACATGAATCTTTCCTTAAACTACACATTGTAGGCATATGACTTCCATAGAGGGGTCTGAGACATTTTTTGATGTTAAGTGGGGCTCTTGTCCTTGAAGGTGTTGGGCCTAGGCTATGGGACAGTGGCCTGCTGTGCCCTCTGCCCCACCCAGTGATAAACATATCTTTGGTTAAGAGGCTCTTTCTCACAAGTGTTAAATAAATGGAACTGCCTGTAATCCTGGGCCTGTCATGAAGGTAAAACTAATAAATGGACAAACCCACATCTCATTTTCCTTCAAGTCATCACTTACTGGGGAGAGAGCTCTTTTCTCTCCTTTCCCAAGGTAAACCTATAAAGCAAGAAGCAAGTCAGTCTTCCTTTGGTCCTGTCTGTTTGTGCTGAAGAAATGGCAAATACCCAATGGGCACTGGCAAATCCTGCTTCCCACTCCTCTCATCCCCAACAGGTTTGCCAAATAAAATATGGGATGTCCAGTTAAAATTGAATTTCAGATAAACAATAAATACTTTTTTAGCAAAAATATGTACCAAATATTGCAAGTTTAACTCTTTGTGTCTGTGTGTCTGTGTATGTCTGTGTGGGTCTCTGTGTGTACACACTAAATCTGGCAACTTGAATCCCCAACAGTTTCCTGTTTTCATTTTTAAGCCTTTACAGAGTCTGTTTGGGGTTTCTGTTCAGCAGAAGGGCATCCATCTCCTCAGTGGATGGTGCTGGTGAGCTGCCATCTTTAAGAGGAGGAGGCCTAACATTCCCACTTCCTGGAGGATCTGAGGTCACCTCAGGAGGGCAACTAGGGAGTGTTGGGGTGAATGTGGAGCTGGGGGTGTGGGGAGGATTTGCCTTCTGGTCCCAGCTCTGCTTTTGGCTGAATGACTTTGGACAAATTACTTTGCCACTCCCCACCCCCCTTCCTTATCTTGTAAAAGAGAGGGATTGATCTGGAGGATCTGAAGTCCCTTGGTGGGGAAGGTTGGGAAGAAAGTTCTGCTTGGGATGTGGAGTATGAAGGTCCTGAGAGGAGCTAGAGAGAAGGCAAGACTTCAGGCTGTATGTTCCTCTGCAAATGTGCGGGGAGGACAAAGGGCAAAATGTATGATAGAGGCTCTCAGCTCCCAAGCTTGAGCACCTTTGCCTTACCACAAAATTGTACCTGAAATTCTAGGGTTTCAGGATTTGATGGAAAACACACTCTCACATCAGAATTCAAGGCAGGGCATCTCAGTGCGTATGTCCTCCCATTGCCCCACTGACCTGCACATTGGAGCCTGTACATGGTGTCAGGGGGCCATGTCCGCAAGAGGCCTCGGAGGTATCTCTTGGCCGAATACCCAGGCTGCATCTGCCGTTGGCCCTGGCTCTCTGGTTGGCTTCGGAAGTGGAGGTACGGTTGCCATGCTCTGTCCTGCTCCCTCTGTGGGGACACCAGTCAGGAAACAGCATGGCTGCTGAGTTCTGAGCCTCCCAGTGATACATGCTAGTTAGTATAATCCTCATCAGTAATCTGGGAGACTCCTGGAAGGTGCCTAAAGGCACCTGGAACAGATGCCTGAGCCAACAGACATAAACCAAGAGCCCACAGAGCAAAGTTCTGAAAGGCCCCTGAGGATTTGCTGTTGGAAGGAGAAATGAGAAATTCTGGACCCCAATCTTGAGACAAAGCATCAGAAAAGAATAAGAGCCTCAAAGAAAACACATTACTTAGTTTAGCCTGTGGAAATCATTTTAGTATCTGAAAAAGTGGTCCTGTAGGGTAATGGGAAAGTCAGCTCAACAAGTCAGTATCGGCGGTCAATGTTTGCAATATGAATAATGGGACAGACAAACTGTTCATGTTAATGGGAAGCTTGGCATTTTGAAAATATCTGGCTCTGCTGCATTTCATTTCAGCCCAGGAGAATTTTCTGGGAACTTGCCTGCCAAAATCAGTTCCCCTGTGCAAGACATCATGGGGAATAAATGTGAATAAGAACATCTTACACTTAGGTGGGGATAAATATTCTACAAAGAACTATCACCTCATTATAATCCTTTAATGTGGGCAAGTTAATAGTATAATTACTCAAGTGACGCAGAACTCTCTAAGGATGATCAGTTAAGAACAAGAATAGCAAACATGAGGACTTGTGTTGACATCTATCAGCCTCCCCCTTGTCCATGGTGGACATCACCAATCAATTATGGCATTCTTGCGGCGCCTGGGTGGCTCAGTTGTTAAGCGTCTGCCTTCGGCTCAGGTTGTGATCCCAGGGTCCTGGGATCAAGTCCCACATCGGGCTCCCTGCTCAGCGGGAGGCCTGCTTCTCCCTCTCCTACTCCTCCTGCTTGTGTTGCCTCTCTCACTGTCACTCTCTGTCAAATAAATAAATAAAATCCTTAAAAAAAAATCATGACATTCTTGACTGAAGAATAGATTGTGATTTCAGAGTCCTTCTCCTACAAATTTTTTTAAAAAGATTTATTTATTTATTTGAGAGAGTGAGAGAGAGAGCATGAGTGTGGGGAAGGGCAGAAGGAGAGAGAGAATTCCAAGCAGACTTGGCCCTGAGTGTGGATCCCGACACAGGACTTGATTTTCACGACCCTGAGATCATAACCTGAGCTGAAACCAAGAATTGGATGCTGAACCAACTGAGCCACCCAGGCACCCCATTCTCTTATACATTTTTTAAATTGAGGCAGAATTTATATATAATAACATGCACAGAGCTAAAATGTTCAATTTAATAAAATCTGACAATTGTACACACCTTTGTAACCACCACACATAACAAAATATAGCTCAGAAAGTTCCCTCTTGCTATTTCCTGGTCAATTTCTCCCCACCCATCAGGGAATTACCACTGTCTGATGAGGTCAGTAAGCCACAGGCCTGAGTTATGTTGCCATATCCTGCCAGAATTTACCAAAGAAGAATGGCTAAATTTTAAAAAGTAAGGAAAAAAGAAAAAAATATGATGGAAATATAGAACCTGCTTGATGTGGAAAGAAAGGCCTTAGGTTTTGGGTTCTTGCTCTAATGGGCAAATCTGTGGTTTGCTCCCATTCAGATGTATTCAGATCAAAATGCCACAGAAGGACAGCCTACAGCTGTAGCCGAGGATTCAAGAACACCAGAGACCCTTCTTAGCTAAAAGGAGGGCTGGGAAGCCAAAGTCCATAGGACAAAAGAATACCTCTGCTGGGGAGAGAGAAACAGGTGCCAGAATAGACATTCATTCATTCATCTACTCATACAATGCATCAAACAATATACCAGGCACTGGAGGGAAAAGGACAAATAAGACAGATTGATAACTAACAAATAATTTGAGTAACAGAGAGAAGAAAGCATGGCTAATTATTCAATTGGCTGTACTCTTTAGGAATCTGTATATTAAATGAATGTTTAGAATCCAAACAGAGCATCAACTGATCTTTGATGTCTGGACATTTTATATGGCAGATACTTCAAGTGCAAAAAGATCCCAAATAATTCAGTCCCACATAAATCTTGAGGATTTTTCCAGAGGATAAGAAAGAATTATAGGGAGGGCAGTGGAAGCAAAGCGATTCAAGTTCTCTCTCACTCCATTTTTTCATTTGGGGATCATGCAATAATCTTTCCTGAGCATCTTCTATGTGCCAGGCACTGTGGTAAGCCATGGAATATTAAGCATTAGATTCAAGGCCTTTTCTGGGTGAATTGGAGCCTCATTTCCTCCCCGTAAATCTTTGCTTCAAATGACTTCTCTCTGAATGCGATAAGACCATACTTCCTCTGAGACGCTGTAGTCCCTACACAGATGGCATGATGCACTGTTTGATCTGGACAAGAGCCCCTTATTGTTTCCCATTCGTGGGTATTTCTGAAGTATCAGCTTGGTTCTGGAGCTTTACTGGGCAACTTGCTAAATGGGGCAGGGAGTTGCCGAGAAGAGTTAGGAAATCCTTTGTCCTGGAATTTGGGGTATCTAGTACATTTTTGCCTGTAGTTTGAAAGCTGACTTTGGCCTCTGTATTAGTTTCTTATTGCTGCTTTAAAAGAAAAAAAGATTTTAGGGGCACCTGGGTGGCTCAGTTGTTAAGCGTCTGCCTTCGGCTCAAGTTCTGGGATCAAGCCCTGCATCGGGCTCCCTGCTCAGCTGGAGTCTGTTTCTCCCTCTCCCACTCTCCCTGCTTGTGTTCCCTCTCTCACTGTGTCTCTGTCAAATAAGTAAAATCTTTTAAAAAAATAAAAAATTTATTTATTTACTTGAGAGCGAAAGTGAGAGCAAAAGAGAGAGAGAGAGCACACAGAGGGAGGGGGAGAAGCAGGCTTCCTGTGGAGCAGGGAGCCTGACATGGGGCTCTATCCCAGGACCCTGGGATCATGACCTGAGCCGAAGGCAGACGCTTAACCGACTGAGCCACCCAGGCGCCCCAGTTTCCTACTGCTACTTTGACAAATTACCATATACTTAGTGGCTTTAAACAATAAACATTTATGATATTATAGTTCTGGAAGTCAGAAGTTTAAAATGGATCTCACTGGGCTAACATCAAGGTGTTGACAGGGCTGTGTTCTTTCTGGACACTCTAGGGGATAATCTGTTTCTTGGTGTTTTCCAGTTCCGACAGGCTGCCTGCATTCCTTGCCTGTGACCCCTTCTTCTGTCTTTAAAACCAGCAAAATTGGGCTAAGTCCTCATGCTGCTATCTCTCTGGTTCTCCCTTTCGATTCCTTCTAACACTTTTAAGGATCCTTGTGATTACATTAACCTGCCCAGATAATTCAGGACCATCTCTTTTTTAAAAAATTAAGATTTATTTATTTATTTAAGAGAGAGAGAGAGAGCGCGCGTGAGCTTTCGCTTGTGAGCAGGGGGAGAGGCAGAGGGAGAGGGAAGGAGAAGCAGACTTCCCACTGAGCACAGAGCCTGAGGTGGGCCTCAATCCCACGACCCCGAGATCATGACCTGAATTGAAACCAAGAGTCGGAAGCTCAACCAACTGAGCAACACAGGCTCCCCGATAATCTCTTTATTTTAAGGCCATCTGATTAGTAACCTTAATTCTATCTGCAACCTTTATTTTCCTTGCCATTTAACCTAATATATTCATATGTTCCAGGGATTAGGACATAGACATCTTCGGGAGTCATAATTCTGCCTGCCACAGTTTCTCTGAAGTTTTTTCTAGTTTTCTGGTTTTTTTTTTTTATTAGTTTCTCAAATCATGCTTGTGAAGTTGGTTGATAAATTTCACATCTCATTGGATAAATGGATGCACTGAGAGAGGCCCAAGGCCTGTTTAGGGCACCAAGAGGACCAGGCAGGGTTAAATCTATTCACTCATTTCCAAGGTGTAGAATAATATGTTAAGTAGCAAAAAGCAAGATACAAGGGAGAATGTAAAGTACAATCACAATCTCATAAAAGTATATTTTATAACCATATAATCATGGTGGAAAGACTGGAAGAAAATATATTAAAATTCTAATAACAGTGGTTAATAGGGTGTTGGGCATAAGGTTACAGTTAGTTTTTTTCTTCTCCCTTTTGTGAAATAAAATTAAAATCCAATAATATGGTTAGATTATATTAATACATGGAAAACATGTTAAGAAATTAATTTATTTTATTGCACCCACCCTCCTCTCAATTCCTTCTCCAACATTATCCTGGACCTCTAACCACCCAGAAGTTACTATAAAACCTCAAAGGAGACAGAAGGGAGCCGGGAAGGGAGTTTCTGGAACAGGGAAATAAGTGACAGCAGGAGGCTGGCTGTGATAGTTTCAAACTTCTCAGGCCTGCCTTGGCTTTGCCAATCAACTCCAGCTTTTGGTTTCTTCCGAAATGAGTTATTAGTGTGCACAGAGTGGCCTATTGTCCACACTCCACCAGAGTGCTTCCTTTAATAAGGGACTTTCTCTGGCCAGCCATGTTCCCAGGGCCTGCTGGGCCTCCATGTGCAGAGGAGCTGAGGGGACGCCCAGTACTGGTCCCCACCCCTGCACTGGCTGTCACGTCCACCCTGCCCCAATGCTAGCCAGTGAGGGTTTCCAGAGAATGAAGGAGCTGCTGCCGGCTGTGCTCCTGCTCAGCAGATATGGGGTGGCAGGATGCCAGAGCCCCCAGGAGGGCAAGAAAAGCCTGGACAGACAGCTGCCATCTCACACAGACCGTGGCCAGCCTTTGTGTGCAGGAGTCGACAGAGGGGTAAAGAGAGAAGTCCAGAAATCCCAGGACTGGCAGACAAAGCCCTGCACAATTTGACCCCACCTGCTTCTCCAGGTACATCTCCGGCTAAGAGTCCTAGCTGTCTAATTGCCCTGACTTTCTTCCGCCGGCTCTCCCTCTAGGCCTTCACTTTACCTGTGACTGGAAGGTTTCTCTCCACTTATTTGTACCACGAGACTCAGTTCAAATTCTACCTCCCCCAAGACGTAGT